CATAAAAAGACAGTATAAGTCATTATAATCCATAATTATGTCCCCACTGGATGCAACGAATGCCTCGTTTATAATGGGTTTTCATGCTTTTGAATCATCGCTCCGGCCTGACAGGGCATCATCAATGTGGTAAGGGGCGTAACATTTTCGTCACACGCTTGAGGTATTCGGCCAATCACAATGCACTGGATAGCTGGCCAATCACAGCACACCTCGCTTTTTCAGACCGATGAGCTTTGTAAAAATCAACACGTTTCAGAAAGGTGGGGCATAGAGGAGAAACAATAATGTACAGTATGTGGAAAATAATGTGTTTTTTGAACCTTAAACTGCATAAACACATTTCATTACACCAAATACACAAAATAATGTTCTTTTTAGCAGCATCATATGACCCCTTTTAAGTTATTTTTTCTGTAAAACTGGATGATCTCTCTGAACAACAACGAGTTTGTCAGTGTTGTTCAGAGTCGATGAGGTATGGTAGCCAGCTGTGCTTCCTAATGGGTGTCAGATTTACCCAGAGAGCGTGTGTATTTGTGTGTACACGAGCATGTTTGTTTTAGACGGTTATAGAAGGAGGGCAGGATTTGATTTGATTTGATCTGATTTGGTTACATTTGATACCACACATTGATACTCTAGACACAACCTCCCACAAGCGATTGAGTGTTATGTCACACATTCTCATAGGAATTGAGTCTGATTACAGATGTGACATACTGTAGGTTTAATCTCACTGTGGAGATTTGATAGGATTCACAACATTCAATACATTTGGGCTCTATCATATTTTTGGTTCGTGTATTCGTTTTTAGTAATGTAAACTGATGTATATCTGGTGTGTATTAGTTTTGTGCATTTAAAATTAGAATAATTTTTTTTTGTTTTATTTTTCTCAGTTTCTGACAAAGAATCCATCCCGTCGTCTGGGTTGTGTTGCTGCCGAGGGTGGAGAGACCGCTGTAACCAGTCACCCATTTTTTGCTAGCATTGACTGGAACAAACTTAACCAGCGAGAGCTTGAACCACCTTTCAAGCCCAGAATTGTGAGTTTTAGATGTAAATATTGAACTAAATATTAATCATCAAATTCATTAGAAATGTAAATGCAGATTTATTTATATATATATATTTTTTTTAATCTAAAATCCAGAAAACTGCAGAAGATGTGAATAACTTCGATCCAGACTTCACCCAAGAAGATCCTACTCTTACGCCCATCGATGAGGCCATCATCCCATCCATCAGTCAGGACGAGTTCCGTGACTTCTCCTTTACTTCCCCTGAACTGTTGAAAGTGGTTTCAGATTTGCAAAGCAGAGCCGAAGAAATGTGTGATTTCATGAAGGAACAGAACTCAGGAGAATTCTGTGATTTGATAGAACCAAATAAATTGTGACAATAGAAACTTTCAGGAGCAGTCTAAAGAAACATTTGAATACCATTGTATTGAAACTGGTTAAAGACTGTGCATTTCAGTGGCCTAGATTTGCCTAAGCTATAAGATTCTTTTGGCCTACGCTTATGCTTTTGAACAACAGTGTAATTGTCTTTGTGTCAGACACATCGTGAGTGATTTGCAAAGATCTCCATGAGACACTCCATCCTGGAAGACAGCAGTTTACACAAATTTGATCAACAGGTGAACTTGTCTGTTCAGTTGCTACTGTAGCTGTTTTGACTGTTTATATCCAGATGCTTAGGAAACTTGATTTGATCCCTCTGCACTTGCTCTGAAAATGCATTTTAAATGGAAACTCTAGTTTTGTAAGATATTTTCATTTATTTGAACATCTGTGCCGTTTGTTGTTTTGTTTGTTTGTTATTACATTTCAGGTCAGAATTTCACCCATGATTAAACTGGCATCTTTAGATGCGTTTTATTGTTGAGAAAGGCTGCAGTATTGAGTTCTCTGCATTTAGACTTTTTCTCTCTGTGACTTCATCAAAAGACATCTCCCCTCTGTTGTTCTGAAGGGTTAAAGGTTAACACAGTCCGGTGAGATGTTGACCAGTTTCAATTCTTTATATTGAGGGCAGTGACTCTTGCTCCTCATCCTCATCATTCTTTAATGTTGTTTATTTGGATCTTCTCAGTCCAAGCAGAGTGAAATATCTGTTGGTGTATGCTTTCGTGCCTGTACATATTTGGCAATGATTTCACATTATTACTTGTTGTGTCTGTAGGAGTGTGCAAAAAAGTTTGTAATTTCAGTCAAACACAATTTATAGTATTCTTTGCTGGTTTGAGAGACCAGCTAAGACCCAAGTTTTTGACACGTTTTTTCCACATTCTTATGTCAGTTTGTTACTTTTTGCCAAATTAGTGTCTAAAAATTGTACGTTTCTGTAAAAATCATAGTAAAATTTTCTCATTCTGTCAATGCTAGATGCAACACAAGTCCCTAACAGTAAACTGATGTCTCGTTCTATTTGATGTACTCCACATGCACTTGTGCTACTTATTGCATGAAAGTTGGGTGCAGTGGTGACACAGTGTCACGCAAGATCAAGAACTCATCTCAGGCAGGCTTTTTTTTCATGAGGAAAATAGAAGATGATGCAACCTCTTTTGTTTAATCAAATAAGAAACAATAAAGTTTCAATGGGGATCCTCATCGACTTTTAAAGAAATGATTAAGGTTGACTGCTGATGGGTTTCTTGCAGGGTAGAGTCAAGCTTTGAAGAAAACATTAGCCTGATGAGAATCCTGTAATGAGTATCTGTTTTTTAGATTATTTGTCTTTGCCCTGCCTCGGTAAAAAAAAAAACCTACAAGACTGGGCTGTTACTTTTTGCCATATCATGCTTACATTTGACGAATGGAGGCAAACAAGATTAGCAACAGATCTTTGGTATTGAGTGAGAAAGACATTGGAGATGTCATGGGGAATCCCATTAAGCAACTTGCCCTTACAAGTCTGGCCCTGCCCCAATTACACGAGTGGAAGCTTTCCTGGAGAATCAACGTCAGCAGCCCACTTTCCTGTGGGAGACTACAACCCTGAAGACCAACAAACAGAGCGCTATCTTATGAGCTTGGAGCCATTTGCAGTCTTTGGCAATGCGGGGGTAGGCAGAAATCCTTGTATGGTCAAGGACACTCTCTTGTGGCGCTTGGATGACTCCTCTTATAAAAGTCTATACACAGAGGAGTTTCCTGATCCTTCAATGCCAGTTACCACAATTATTCTCTGTATCCTGCTTAATATCATTCTGTTACTCATCTTTTAAAATCTTTCCATCTTTTGTCCATTCATTGTGGACGCTGGTGATGGTTTTCTTCCCAGAAAAGGTACAGGTCTAAGATGGCTGATCTCTTCATATCAGACCATTCATGCTGTGAGATTATTTTGTTCCCTGCATTACTTGCTTTCTCCCCCTCAGTGCAATATGCAATGTAATTTGTGTTATATGGCTCCAGTTTTGAACCGTTCTTGCTTGACTGCATGCTGACAGCCTTATTTCATATATATTTATTTATATGTTTTCAAATGACAAATATGGCACATTTTAGGGTTTCTTTTTTAGGTTGTATTGCTTAATAATGAAGCCAGACTTATATATATATATATATATATATATATAATTTTAAATGTATATATAATTTTAAATGTATATATAAATATATATTTATATGTATATATATATACTATTGTTCAAAAGTTTTTTTTTCAAAGAAATGTATACTTTTATTTCTATTAAGCAGCATCTATTGAGCACCAAATCAGCATATTAGAAGGATCAAATGCCATAACAGAAATAACTTTTAACAGTAGTGTGTCTGTAACATTCATTTAGATTTTTAAGATTTTAGTTATTCCTGCAGAAAGAAACAGGATTCCTTCTTAAGAAACAGGCTATAAACGTGCATGCATTATCTTGGTTTAGAATGCATGTCAATATAGACCAAGAACAAGCTGACATACTGTATGGCCCAGTCAGTTTGTGTACTGGCGACAGACTGCTGTTCTCCCTGCTTTCGTCTAAACTGTTATAAAATTAGCCCTCTGTAATGCGTCTCTTAAAGGCCTTGGTGACCGATCAGTTTCCAGCCATGCCCAGGTCCAGTGGGCCATAATTATATTTTATTGATTTCTCTTCTGCCCGTACGGATACCCTTTATTGGATGCAGAAAATCCATTTCAGTCTTAGCACCACTTCAGCTTCAAAACCTCGTCTTGGGCTGAGTGTGTTTATTCTATTGATTTCTGTCTTGATAAATGAAGGGTTGTAACGATTAGATCAGGATTCCCCTGGGTAAAAAAAGACATCAAGACATCTTCAAATGTATCATATATACACTTAAGTTTGCTACAAGTGTGTGCAAACAGTGCTTCACCTTTAGGCAAGACCTTTTATGTGTCTCTTTATTGCGTAATGAGGCTTGACAGAGCAATAATACATGCATGGGTGTGCGTGTGTGTGTGAATTTTTATAGCTTGATGTTCATTGTACTACATCAACGAATTGCAGCGCAAAAGATGATCTGATCTCTCTCTTCAAAGTCCCATCGTGTGCATTCAGCCTCTGCTGAGGGATGGAGAGATCATCTCTGAACAGGAGGATAAAGGAGATTACTGCAGATTAGAGTTGGCACGTGTCCATCTGCTTCCCTCATTCATATACAGCAACATCACAGTTCTTTACCGCAATCCAGCAGCGGCAATGCTAATAAATTGAAAATATAATTTCGCAGAGACCCTTTCATCCAAACACAACGTATAATAGACCTGGCAGGAACAGTCCCTGCAAAGCTGCAAACTACACAGGAGCAAATGTTTCCCTCAAGGACACAGTGGAGATGGAGCATGGCCTTGACCTCATTTAGCCCTGTTGTTTGCTCTCCTCTCAATATCCACTGGATTCTAATAGGAAACTCACTGAAAACTCCTGAAGTTCAATTTATAGGATCTGTAATTTTGATTTTCAAAACATTACAGTGAGAAAAGTCAACAAAATCTTATGGCAATTCAGAACTATTTTACATGTTGGTGAATTAGTGGTTAATTCGAATGACGGTTTAGTGGTAGACCTTATAAAAATCCATATGAATCGCATTGTATGAATTCTTTCAAACTGTCACCATAAAATATGTTTTGAGATCAGGTTGGAAAGGCTTTAATACATAATTTATTCTGAAAAGACTGTGTTTACAAAAGGACAGTGTTTTTTAAGAATACAGATGTTTAGTCATCACGTGTACTCTTAATGATAGTTACAGAGGAAAGCAAGTGTTGTGGCCGGCTTCAGGGAAATTTTCTCAGGTTTTTCCATTGCGTTGTGTGGAAAAGGACGAGACACAGGGTTTATGTTAGTGTGCACGTCTCGTCTTGGTCATAAGGCTGGAATTTGGGAAAAAGAACAACCTTTCAAGAATTTTCTGGGCTGGAAAATGTTTGTTGACATGTCTCTTTCAATATGGGAAAAAAAGAGACCTTTTATAGTTATTGCATGTCATTAATAAAATTAGAATAATCAGTTACAACACTGAAAACAGTTATATTACAAAAAAAATTACCATGGTAAGCCTAGTGTCTACCAAATAGTTCTATAATTTGCCTACTTCAGTAGTACTATGTACTATAAAGTACTATGGTGCCAACTTGTTATTAGCCACTTCTGCCATCAAAAGAATTGAATAAATTGGTAAATAATGTGAAAGTGACTCTTTGAATCAGATCCAGCTATGATGTTCTCACTTAATC